GTGCTTTTTCTTTTTTTTTTTTTTTTTTTTTTTTTTTTAAACTTATCCTCTCGGGTTTGTACCTAAATAAACGGCTCCAGCGGCTGGCAATGCAGAGGGAGGGTTGCCTTAGTCATTCCCGAAGGGCTGGTTTCAGCAGAGTACAGGGAATGGCTCTGCAAGTCTGGCTGAGGCTGCGTATGTGGGAGGAGAGACATTTTTATCACAAAGGTAAGTGGTGCAGCACACAATAGGTTTAGCTTGGCTGTCTCCACCTGATAACATGTCATTAACACCGCTGATCTGGGTCCTTAAGGCTAATCCAGATGAAATATCGCTCCGAACCAAACCCAATCACCAAGCTGTTTATTACTATGCATTATTCATCGATATGCATCTTTGCACATGCATACATTAAATGTTAATTTAGAGGCATCTGTGTCCAAATGGTACCAAGCACCTTCCTAAGATTCAGGCCAAAAATAACCCACCAAAAGCAGAAATTAAATAAATAATGATAAACATCTCAGAGCCCTCTCTGCCTGTAAACCACACCCAAATGAATGCATTATTACTAAAAGGTGGAAAAAACCCAAACCCAAGGTCACAACCAAGTGAAGCCCTGTAATAAATGCACGGCACAGTGATAAAAGACTCCAGACTAAAAGGAAAGGAATAAGCCTGCAGCTTGGGCCTGAAGGACGAAGACGATGTGCTCTGGTAACTAATGAAGAAGAAATCCAAAGAGAGAGGCCCTCTAGAGGAAAAGCTCCACCTCCTTCCCCTTCTGGGACCGTAACAGTGGATCAGCCAGGGTTGTAGCCACACTGATCTCAGGTGCTTTGCTGAGGATTGGAGGCCAACATATGGTCTCTCAGGTACACTGAAGTCCTGTATTATTTAAGGTTTATAAATATTTATAGTCATAGCATTGCTGATCAGGCAGTCCACAGAAGCTGCGGAGAGTGCTGACAGAGGCTCCAGCAAGCTGAAAGCCTTGAAGCGATTGTGTTGACACGTTCTGCAGCTTGCTGAAACGTATGCAGTGGCTTTCAGGGATAGCCATAAATAAAGCTCATTCAGCACTTGGCACATCCTTGGAAGATGCTCAGATGGCCACAGACATAGGCCTCTGTGGAGGGATGGGAAGAGAAGGATCTGCCAGTAAGCTCACCTAGCTGCTGTGAAGTGATTGAGATGAGAATGAAATCCTGCAGACGAGATTGCAACTTCCAAATGTTTCAGACCTGATAAAGGTCACTCCCAAAAGATGAGGTTTCCTACCATACAGATCTGACTCTCTTTTCCAATAAACCCTCGAAACATGGACAACGATTGATCCCATATTGAACAGCCATCTCCAAGTATTTCCCCTTTTCACACACACTTGAGGACATCCTCAGCAGTGTCTTCAGTTATTTTGTGTTCATATTTCCAGCTGTGCTCACGGGAAGTGAATCAAACACACCTTACCCCAGGCTGATCTGCTGAGTCTCTGCTTGGCCTCACAAAGATGACTTCCACCACCCATGTGGAAACTCAGGCACTCCAAAAGAATTACTGAACTCCTAAAAGGAACCCTCCTATACTCTCTATGTATTTATGGTCCTTTTATGAACACTGAAAAAAAAAAAGGGGGGGGGGGGTAATTTCAAAAGTTTTTATTCCCACCTGCGAGACTCGGGTATCATTTCTTGAGAAATGCCCAGCTGTAGCAAATTCTACTCATTCTTTTTGTTATATGTGAACCCAAACATTTTGATACATAGCCATGACTCCACAGCTTTATTCCTAGGATATTCTTTGTCCTACGGGATGAGTTCTATCATGAATAAAGCTCAACCAGCCAGTGCACTGGCAACTGAACCCCAGATATCACTCTGACTTTGGGACCAGCCATAGAAACTTACTGTCTACATGAGTCCAGTTGAGCCTCTATAATGTCTGACACACGGGTCCTGTTGATCCCAGAATTCTCAGCCAGATATATGAGATTCCTTACCAACTTTGTTATCATAAAAAGAGTATAGGCTGATGCAACTAACATTTCAGTTTGAGTTTGTTTACAGCTAATTAGCACAGCACACCTCCTGAGTGGTAATATATTAAACCAGCAACTGGATATGCTCATGATCTAAGCATGGAAATAACCAATTTTTGCTGAAAAATCACCAGACACTGATAATCCGTGTGTGCTTAATAATCCCATTGGGCGTCCATTTTCACTCTGAACCACATAAATTACTTTGAAAATGACCCTGACCCTCATCTGAATTTCATAAATCCAGCATCAATAAGAAAGGTTCCTCAGATAACAGATCATACTTAGCCCTATTGACCACAAAGGTGGAGAAACACTGAATTACATAAACACAACCCGAGAAATGAATCAGGCCAGTTGGAGTCCCACTGGTAACCCTCAGTCTCCATGCAGCAGATTTCATATTGCAATCCCGTAATGAGTAATAACTGGTCCTTGAAATATCACAGTGATACAGGTATGCAGAGCAGAATAACTAACTTGAACACATTTGCAGATTAACTATTTAGCAATAGATGAAAAATTAGTTAATTTTATCAGTTAATGTTATCCACACACCACATAATAAAAGGAACGAAGGAGGGAAACTGAGTGGAATCATAGTATCGCGTTTCCTTAACATCAAAACACTCTGGACACTTCTGGGCAAGTGACTTCTAGAAGCATTATCTCATCACTGAAAATAAGGAAAGTGATGAATAGAGAGCTTGCACAGCCTGCCTGAAACTGCAGAGGAAAGTGGTGGCAGAACTGGCTTAATTTAAGATTCTTTTATGCTAGTGCACAAAAGTCCGAAGTGACATAAGTACTCCCTACCCTGAGCACTGCAGTACCACATGACAAAAGACAATCCCTGCCTGCGGATTTGCCCTGGCACAGACAAGAAAAAGGACCGTATGAAGAGCACGAGGATTTCACAAGGATCCTTTGGCAAAAAAGTATTACACTGATACAGAGGGGGAGATGTGAGCACAAAGATATGAAGCAGGCAGGCTCCTCATCAAACAAGTGGAAAATCAGGTCTCTTTACTTACATACTAATACTCCCTCTGTGCTACAGTGCTCTGGCACTTGTGGCCTGCCTAGAAAAATTGAGGACCATAGGACTCCTCCACTAACCTGCGTTGCATCAATTAGCTCTAGTGGTTTCTGATATTTTTCTCCTATTCCGTCTGGCCAAGATGTGCCAACTTACTTCTCATGCATAAAATGATGAATGATGTTTTATTACATTTCATTGCCATAGTTACTTACACATGCAGGGTAAAGCTGAACAATCAAACTCGATTTGAATTAGAAACAATGTACCATAAGCTCTATATTACTTTATTTGCCTGGCATCCTTACGTGAGACAATTGCCACAAATCCAGAATTTTCTTCATTATTTAAAGACTAAGAACCCAGTGAGAAATTATAGCTGTATATTCTGCCATTAAATTACCATTATTAAAATAAATGACAGCAACTACTTCCAGATCTGGGACTCTTCCTATTGCAAATAATTAATTATTAATACTTCCAGGGGGTGCAAAATTTATCATTCAAGACAGGATCCCATTGAAATTTGGATATTTGCAAAAGCAGAACTCCACAAAACCTGCATTCTCCAGTGAAAATGAGCAAAGACAGAGACTGGTATGAGCCACCATGCCATCTTCAGGCCTGGCTTAAAGAACTCTAGCCTGGACCCTCCCGGAGGACAGGGTCCTTAAGATCTTGCCAGG